GCTGTTGTACGCGTTCAGTTATTATTGCTAGTCATTATTTTGATAATTTTAATGCTGTTCATTCTCTAGAATCTTTTATAGAATACCCTACTCTTATTCATGTAGTTGTTTACTAAAGTCATCAAACTTATCCATAAATAGTCACAGAGCCGTTAAATTATAAATAATTTCCATTAACATGAACTCAAAATCTTCGTCATCTTCATGTGCAGACATTCGAACTTAGAATCTAGTCAAGTTGCATTTTAACAGCACTGTTTTAGCGATTTATTGAAACCGATTATTGCAATAACCTCCAAGACTCCAGTGGGCCGGGCAATATACATGGTTAATGCAACTCCGATCAATAAAACAATATCTTTAAATTATAATTATACAATAAAACAAATTTAAACATTTTTATTTAAGTATGATAATTAAAGAGCAGATGTGTAGGTTCTTAAAAGCTTAAATTGATGCTAATATGTTCTAAAAAAACCCTAAAATATTCCTAAATATTCCTTAAACTTGTAAATATGCAGATAATATGATTTGTTTTTTTTCCAAAATAATTCAATTAAAACACTAAATAACTTATGTACCATTCCTTTTTGGTAAAATATAAAATATTTAAATATAAAAAATACAAAACAGTTCATGGGTTTATGAATACAATGAAATATATTATATAAAAACAAAATAGTTTAATAAAAACAATACATAACTTGTATGGCCTTTAGTAACAGCTAAGTTATTTAACTATAAAATATAAATCAGTTCATACTTAGTTACCTTTATAAATATAATGAAATATTAATAAAAAAACAAATAAAATTAATAAAAACAAAATTAGTTCATACTTAGTTACCTACTAAACTATATCACCATTAGTCGTAAATACTATATAATTTGTTTTGTTATACGACTCTATCCACTGTTTATGTAAATATTTTAAACTTTTGTTAATTTTCGGTATTTAAAAAAAATAAAAATGAATATTACAAATTTTACTAAATCGTCAGATATTAAAGTTAAAATAATAAACAATATAAAAGTAAAAATATATTTATTATTAGAAATCATTCTTATCACGTTATTATAAGATCGTAAGTACAATCATGAATTAAGAGTAACAGAAAGATCATCATTACCAATTTGATTACAAACAAGTAGATAATTGGATGATTTTTAATTTTTATCATTCTTATATAAAATAATTTTTTTTCCTAGACAAAATTTTTTGCTGGAAAATATCACAAATCAATAAATTAATAATGTATAATATGATTTTTTATGAACAATAATAGAATATTATATTCTAAAATATGAAAAATAGGCTAAATATTCTCTTAAGTCCAAAATATGCTTTAATATGCTAAATAAATTTTTTCCTACGAACTCTGTGATGGATAAGTCGTCCACATTTTTCACTCTCATAAAGCTACATAAAACCAATAAAAATATGTAAAAACCTAAAAATCCGCTCTCTAATGATAACGATTGATGAGGATAAAAATATTAAAAAAATATTATATTTTTATTAAAATATATATTTACACATAAAATTAAGTTTTGTTTATGTAAACAGGTTTAGTCGGTAGGTATCTAAATTATGAGTATCCATGACCGAAACAGTTACATAAACAAATTTTCCAAATTCTATATTTAAATACAGTAACATCAAAATATATGCCTATTCCCAACAAACACAAACATGGATATGACGCTGTTTCCTCACTTACCATACTATTGGTGGTAAACACGGTCGACGGGCCCCATCGACTGTTAGCTCAAACAAAAAAAAAAATAAAAATATTTTTGTAGGTACTATAAAAAGTACAAATTATCACATAATGTAATTTTAAACCGAGAAAACTATGGGCCCTTAACACACGTGGGCCCCGGGGACTTGGCCCCTCCTGGCCCCCCTTAATCCGGGCTTGCCCACATCCAAATTGGTGAAGTCTTATACAAACAAAACAATTAAACTCGTCCTTGCATTAAATATCATTATTTAAAAATGTATTACATAATGTTGTAATGGAAGAAGAACGATAAGCCTAAGTAATAACTCTGTTTTTTAACATAATGCAAGGTGTATTAGTATTTATTAAAAAATACTATACGATGGTAAATAAAAAGTATCTATATTTAATATTAATCAAAGCGTTACTAACTGTGAAATAAGATGTTAGTGTTCGAATGATGTAACAATTAGTGTTTAAATTGGATACGCAATACGAATAATTAAATTAAAATAAATATTTGAGTAAGTCGTATTGACCCTGGCTTACGTAAGTTTGAGACTGACTGGGACTATGAATAAGAATAGGCTAATACGGTTGGCCGAAATCGGCTGTAGATCTAACTAAACGACAATTGTGCACAATTTTATATAAACATAAAAATAAAAAATAAAACGATGAAAATACACTTAGATTTTAACATCTCTTAAAAGAATGGGAAACCAGGATAAGTTATCTCTACAGATATAAATTAAAAATTGTAGAATGTTATGACGTGTTGGGGGACATTTTATACCAATTTTAATATTAGATTACGAGTTTATATCAGAATAATTTAATGACATAAAAGGAATAAATCTAACCATTAATTCATTTTTCATAGGTATTAATAACCCGGTTACTGCCTTCTGTTTGGATAATTTCCATGAAGTGAAATCCGAATACGTGATAATATTTTATACATCAGTATTATGTGAATTTTTATTGTATTTTATTTTAAATTATACAAAAAAAAATTTAAGTGATTTCTTATTTTTTATTTATACCTACATATTTTAATGTATTATAATTTTTAGTTAAATAAATAACTTGATACTCTACAAAAATAAAAGTCTCAATTTATTATAATTGGATAGTATGAATTATGTTCGTTTTTCCATTTATTTCATAAAAAAATATTCGTTGTTAATAGAGACAAGTTAAATTTGTATTACCGAATTATCAAATTTTCCAATAATGCTAAATAATATATTAATTGTACATTGAAGTTGTTGTGCAGTTGCATTTTGTACATTAAAGATGCAACACGTTTATTCTTATATTGCACATATCTTTATTTGTTTAAAAAAAATATCAAGGTTAAACACGTTAGTAATAACGATGTTTGTAAATCAGAAATGAAACTTTATAAAACAATTTTGAGTAAATAATATTGCGGGTAATACAAAAATACAGAAAAATTTCAATATAGTATTAAACATTTTACTAACTATATTTTTAATACACTGACAAATGGTAAACTAGATCCGTACTCGTTGGCTATCTAAATATTCTTTATAGTTTAGTGTATAGGAATTTTAGGGTAGTATATCATTTTTTATCAATTATTTAGTAAATGTACTGTTTTTGTCACTAATTTATATTAATGAATGTCATCACTCACCAATTAGTATTATAATACAATGCATATTGCTTAATATATGCAATAATATGCGATCACATATAATTAAATCTTATCAATTAATTTATTATATAATTTTAAACATTTTTTAACTATTTTTTTTATTACTCATGGCACGTAGTGATATATGGTATTAGGTATACAATTTGTTTAGTGGTTTATTATTTATATCACCCATGATCTAATAACATGCATATCATTATTAAATTAATAGTTCTATACGTTTATATAAAAAAAAAAATATTATAATATTTAGATATTTATTTTTTTTTCACAAAGTATACGGAAAATGTAGTTTTATTGTGTATTATTTAAAAAAACTATTAAAATGTAAAGTATTTTTCAAACTAGTTTTATGCTTATACAGGGCAGATGAGTGGATACAACTTTAGTGTACAATTGGTTTTGAGTTGGTATATTTGACAAATGTGTTAAATTTGAATTCAACATTATATGATTATATATTAAAAACTATTATAAGTTTACCAATATTATCATCACATACTTTTCTTGATATATTTTTAATACTAATTATTTATTAATTTATTATAGTGTTCTTATAGCGGGAGACTGATTTAATTTTAATGTAAACAAATTTTTAAACATTATAAATATTTAATAACTATAATGATACCATTATCATTTTTCTTTTATTTTATACTATCATCAAAAATTAAAAATAGATTCACGATGAGAAACTGTATATGATTAGTACTACAAAAATCAATTTTAATATATTATGAAAGGAGCTATTTTATTAACAATTCAACAGAGCATTATTTATGTATCTTCACTACATTTTTAACAAATAAATAAATAATTTAGAATAAGGACTTTCATGTATCAAAAAATTTAAAATATGCAGTTAAATATGCCATCAAAAAAACTAATACACTAATCGTTATAGCTCTAAAAATTATTTTTTTCTTTAAATATATAATTTTAATAATTTTAGAATATCTCTCTATAAGTTTTAACTGAATTTGATATCAATTTATTGTAATCTTATTTACAACTATGATAAAATAAGTCTTTTTTGACTTAATGAGAATATAGAAACAGTTAAATAAAATAATTATTTGTGTCCTTAATCAAGAAAAAATTCACTGAGAAACATGATTTCCGATAAACCTTCAAAATATATGCTACAAACTAAAAATATGCTTTTATAATCACAAAAATATGTACTTTAAACCCAAAAATTTCAAAATATGCAAAAATAATATGCACTATAAACTTTGAAATTTTACTCATAAACGGTGTGAAATGTATTGTGTTGTTCTTACTTTGCATACGTAAAAGTAAACAAGAAAAAATATGCGAATGCATGAACGTCCTTGATTTATGAATAATATACGTTACAACTAAGTAAACTAACATAACCAACAAGGAATACATCTAAAATCAAAACAGCTAAAAAAATAAAAGTTATTTTTTATGGTCATGCAGTATTAGTTTATACTAAATGAAAAATATGTTAACATTGTTTATTTTGTTTTTAAAACAGATGGGTGAAAGACGGAATACTTATATAAGAATATGATTAGATTCAATACGTTCACACAATTATTTTTGATATTTTCTAATCTCAAATCAAAATGCTCTTCTTAAACCACAGTGTTATTATTATTGCATTTGCAGTAGTAGCAGTTTTGGGTAATGATTTAGAAGTTACACTCGGCCAAATAAATAGTAAGATCATTAAATAAAATAATATAGAATTATTATTTTAAAAATAAATACATAATTATATTGATTATAATGATTGAAATTGTATATCGTAGTTATGAGTTGTATATGTTGTGATTTAGAATATAATTAATTTCCTTTTTATATAATCAAGAAAATGGTTGAATGTTTATACTAAATTAAAATATAAATAGTATCATTTTTTAATTTATAAAACTTTTATAGAAAATAAATACTAATCAAAATATAATTTTTAGGTGATTGTGAAGGTAACATTTTTAATTAATTATTATTTAACAAATAATTAAAACTGATAGTAATAACATAATGTTTTATTAAAAAAAAATATATTAAAAGTTAACATAATAAAGTGAATTATTATGTCATTTACATTTACTTATTTTATAAAAAATAATTATATTAAATCTAACTATGATTGGCTTCTTTCTTATTTTTAATTATATTTATCATATTCAAAATCACTTTAGCTACTAGGATCATTAAATAATTAAATTTTTAATGCTTTTCAAGAATAATTTTATATATTTTAATTTAAATAATTTTAAAAATATTATAGATTTACTAACGAATTATACTGGATTTAAAAGTAAATATTTATAATTTACAGGAAAATTATTTTATTGTTAACATTTTTTTATGAAATATATTTAATAAAGTATTTAAGTATAACATTATTGATGGTTTAAAGCATTTAGTGTGAGCATCTTTAAGATAAATTTAACGAGTACAAATATGAATACATAAATTCGTAGTTAGAATAATTGTATTTGTTATTGTTTTATATGCTTTTTCAAACAACAAAACATTGTATGAAATACTACAAAACGTAAAACGTATTACAATTATGTGATAAAATGTGTATACTATTCTTAAGAGTTATTCGCGTTTCATATTTTATTATTATTTGGAATCGTCGATCCAATGATACTCGTCAAAAGTAAAATCAATTTAAATGAAAATTATGTTTTGTATGCTAGTTGACTATAATTATATAATGCTTAGCTAACTTATTGTTATTATTGTATGCCTCTACAATATGGTTATAAAAAATATGAATAAATAACAATATAAACATATTAAATAACATAAATATAGGTAAGTAACGTGTTCTCAACTATTGCATCCTTTTTAGCAATTAATAAAAAAGTTTATCTACTTAATTTTTTTTCAGATCTTCTTTCTGATGCTGATCAATTCAGCGGGTCTTATGAAGGTAGCAGATTTAAAAATATAAAAATGGCATTTCAAATATTATTAACTTTGTAAATTTCTTCAATAATATATAGCATCTTAATTCTTAGAAGAGTTACCAGCTTATTTTATAATTTATAAATACCTCGAGAAAAAAAGTCAATCGTAAATTATTATCAATTATTTTGATGTGTGACAACAAGTACTTAACTACTTTGAGATAATCCATGGGAAATTCAATCGTTATTTTGAATTACAATTGTTTTTTTTTTTTTTTTTACAATTAATTTTATAAATTCAAAAATCATAGTTGAATAGTATAATAATATGATAACCAAACAATCCATTTTTTAATTTCAATAATTGTATTAATTCGAAAACAAATTGATTTTTATTTATTTATAACCTCAAAATAATTGATCTTTTTATTTTAGCTACTATAAGTACGTATTTTCTGTATTTTTATTTCTAACAGTATTATTAATTTTTCTATTCAATAAGATTTTTGAAAGTTTTTTTTTTTTAAATTATTTATCTATTTTATGATATTTTACTATTAAGTTGGATATAATAAATACAGTAATATGTTGTATAATATATTATTTTATTATTTATTTTATAGATAAAACCAAATGTATGTATTTTTGTATAATTTAATTTTAACTTTTCTTTATTATGATAACAGCTATAAAACTGTATTATAATATAAATTTTAGTTCAATATAAGTTCCACTTAAATAAAAATATTTTTAAATTAAGATGAATAAAGACTGTATTTACACAACGTTTTCATTCATCGTTTATGAGTATGTTCTATTGAAATAAAACTTAAAAAAACAAAAATGACCTACTCTCAAAATTTTCTATAAAACAGATCAAGTTCCTCGATTTTTATTCATTAGATTTTTCTTGATAAAAATACATCAAATTTTATATTTATCATAGTAAAATTATTGAACTCAATGTAAAAAAGTTACCAAACCAATATTGGGAAACTATGTAGGTAGTTAAAACATTGAGAGAATATATTTAAATGTAATATAAAATTGTAAGTTACGTAATTTTGTTGAAATGATAATATTGTTTGTGATAAAACTAGTAAAGAAGTGTAATTTGATGTAATCTCGGGTAAGCTTAATTCTATAGGCAGTAGAATTTAGTTTGGTTTAATTCGGTCTTCCTGTAAGAAATACATTTATTTAAAATTAAAAATTTGAAATCAAAAATAATTTTATAGTTTTAACTCCATTTTTGGTATAACTTTAGTATATGTAATTATGTATCCTAAGAAAATTGCAACGAATGAATACGTAAAAGTATATAGTTATCATTTTACATTCGATTTCATTTATACAATCACAAACGGTTTCATAACAATAATAAGTAGAATAATAAAGAGTGCAGGAACTACTGATGATATCTCATTTAACAACCAAAATTAGCATAATCAAATGTTAGGATATGAATAGCATTTTTAAACAATAAAAATAAACTTTAAAATATAAAAGACCTATTAGAAATCCATACATCAATTAGAATTTATTTGTTTGTTTATATAGCTAAGCAAAGTAAGTGATCATAAATTTCGTAATATTTGATTTAATAATAAAAAATGTTTCTGATAATATAGCTGCTTTTATAATGTTATGCTTCTGGTGTCAAAAATTTGAAATGTTATGGATTTTCTCGTACATGTTGTCATATTATGATAGCAAAACTCTATTACAATTTACAATACTTTAATTATAAATATTGAATGATTAGATACGCGTGTTCATATACAATTTATAGTAAATATTAAATCGTGTAAGAAATACGTTATAATCATTAGTCATATTAATAAGTGTATTAATCTCGTGATAGTTTATCGATCTCAATCTCAATAAAATAACAAACAAGTATAATTTCAATTTAATAATGTTTTATGATATATGATTTTTATTTGTTATATTATCAGAATACACACGTCAATACACAATTAATATAAAAAATATTAAATTGAATAAACAAAACATTATTATTGTTTTAATTTCTAAATTAATCATGCCATCATATCTCATATCAATAATGTTATATTCAAATATTTTATATGATATATCAAAATAAAAATATTATTTTTTTCAGATCTAATGAGTATGTTCAATGTCTATCATTCCATTTATATGTTTTATAAATTGTTTTCCAAATCACTGTTAAACTATAATAATAAATTACTTATATTATTTATGTATTTTATTTTATTTAGACAATTTGCAAAGTAGGTAATTTTTGAGTTTAAAATTCTATTATATTTTTTATCTTGTATTATATGTTTCTCATGCTATCATTTATAAATTATTACAACCATTATCATCATAAAAAGTTTTTATAAAAAAAAGAGTTTTATAAAATTGAAATTGATTTATACTATTTAGGATTTCTTTTTTGAATTAAATATTATGTATGTGCATGCACCTAACTAGATGATTATAAAAAGAAGGATGAACGTTATTTGAAGAAGCCATGTGACCGATTATGTGTGGTGAAAATATAATATATATATTATATATATGAGAATATGAGATCTTAAAGCTAGTTTAAGTTACTTTAAAGTTACATCTACATCGGGTGCTGGTGGTCTCATGCAGTCACTAAATATACACTAATCTCGATCTCAGACATAAGCAATGCGAGGACGAGAAGCTAAGGACGTAGAAAACAAATTCACATAGACAGTTTTAGCAGTTTGGTCGATTATTAAGTACATAGTATTTTGTGTGATATGTTTCTTATGATAATTTTATAAATTATTATCTTCATCTTCATCATAAATTATTTGTGCAAAAAAAGTTATTTTATAATTAAAAATTCTTCTGCGAATGCTATATAATATTGTCTAAGTTAAACATTATTCGTTTTTAACATTTCTCCATTGATAATGATTATTACGATTTTTGTATAGATAATTAATATTATCATTGTTTTTTTTTTTTTTAGTTATACTTGGTATGTTCAAATTGGTTTGTTTTTTCTGATTGAAATGTTTAATTTGACGTCAGTCAGATTTCAAGTTTGTTTTACAACATGAACGAAATTAATATTTTAATCCTTTTTATTAGAATATAAAAATAGTATTTTTTATTTACAATCTTAAGCCAGTATCCTTCAAATTTTGAAGAGCATAAAATATTTTAAATATTATTCTCAATTTTTTATGAAGTTATTTACTTTATTTTATCAAGAGGATAATATATTTTTCTTTCTAGATCCATGGATAGTATAGAAAAGAAGTTTTTATGTTAAATCATTAATTTATTCGTGATTTTGGATAATCTATAATATGTCGTACCTATTTCATTCTAAAATATTTTAAAAACATAAACATTTTTGTTTTCGTGTAGGTATGCTTTTTATCGATGTTAATGATAGGTAGGCTTTAAACTGAAAACAAATTATGCATTGATTTAATATCATCACATAAAATTTAATCATTTTTATTATTGTATGGAAAATAAAACAATGTATAACAGAAAAATAATTTTTTAAATAAATAACAATTTAACATATTATATGTAGTTGTATAATTATTAATTTCTGTTTTATATTGTATGTTTTATATAGATAGAACAAGTAAGTACATTTTATGATTTTTATGATATTTAAATGTTCTTAAATTTTTTACTCACTCATTTTCTAGAACTTCATTCGTAGCTTATTTTTATCAATATTGAAGCAAATAATTTAAATCATTTTACTGTACAAAGAATAAAAAAAAAAATGATGCTGTAAATCGATTAATAAATTTAACAACATCTTTGCATTACATATTAAGCTAAGATAGTTTTTTTTTTCAAAATCAAGGATTTTTATTTTAACCATGATTTAAATATATGTATGGGCGAATGGCTATAATAAACTTATATAAAATACTATCTGACCCGGCCACGCGTTGCTGTGGCTAAAGTTTTTGTTATATTACATTAAGAGGAACACTAAGAGAACACATAAATCCTCGATCAAGACCAATGCTTCATTGTACATCTCTGGTGTATAATCTATGTTTTGGCATTGATTTATTTGTCTAATTCGGTGCAAGATGTCATCTGTCATACAATTTTTATATTTTTCCCACAAAGTTTGTGCTTGCGAGGGATAACATGTCGTCAAAATAATTGCAAACAACTGACGAATGTTATTCGGTGTTGATGTCAACGCAGCATCGGCAAGCGTTAAGTCCCAATGGTTATCGTCTTCTAGCAATTGCAGTTCACGACATGCATCCTGGTATGTATTGAATACTGGACCATTAACTGTTCGTAAAAATTCAAAAGACGTTGGTCCGGGAACATTCACCAATAACAAACGTACATAGAAGCACTCACGTTGCTTTGGATGTACCGTGTAAAGTCTCCCCAATGTCTTAGCTTTGTCAGTTTAGCCTAGAATATAATAGTTTAATTGAATATAAAATGTAATATTTTTTTTCACTTTAGAATAGTTTCTTACAATTTCCTTAAAAATCTCTAGGTTAAGTGATATTATGTGTATATAAATTGTATATGCATATTTAATTTAAATTTTAGAAACAAGACTTTATTTAACATCAGTCATTGCAAAAAGCTGTGATAAGAATATTGTGAATATTGAGTAGTTGTAGTAAATAATCTCAAATATATAAAATTATTAGGGCTTTTCAGCATATTTTGGATTTCTTTGAGATATTTATAGATATTTAAATAATATTTTTAATAACTGAAATTATTTTTAAATTTATTGTTAAATTATTTTTAAAACTTAAGGTAATTCATGACAATAGAAATTATAAAATTAAATTGTGTTTAATTTATAAAAGCCATAATAATTCATTATACTCGATAAATTATCGAAAACGGTATAAGTAATAATTATATTATATTTTTTTTAGTTAATAAAGGTACGTATTTATATTTATTTCATTATATAAGTAATTTTATAATTTTTTGTATGTTGAATTTGAAATTTGTCTCAACAAAATTTGTGTGCTTAAAACCAAAATTAGCAAAATGTTATGTTTTGCAACTCTACATTCCATAATCAATAATATAGTGATAGCGATGCACAACGATTACAAATATGCATAAAGCACCATTAATTAATGAAATATATTTAAAAAACCATTGGTAAACCATTACACTTCTTAAGTTTATTGTTCAATGGTTATTTAACTATAAAATATATATGAAACCTAAAAATTAATAAAACTAAAATTAATACCAAGTTATTGTTACGGTTTAATTATATTAAAAAATATATATCCATTAGAATATAATAATTAAAGTATATTACAACAGTAATATGATAATAAATCATGATTTTTCTATTTTTTGCAGAGGGTATGTATCGATCATTGTTTGCGTGTATAGTACATTAATAACCCATAACGTCATTTTCTAAATATATTGAAAATAGGTCACCTAACTGTAATCATTAAGTTTTTTTGATTTAATTTTCCATGAAAATTCTGTTAAAATATTTAATATTGTTTAATAAATTTTGTACAATGAAATGTCTTCTTACATATTCAATATCATTTTTGGCGATTTATAGATAATAAATAGGCTTAAACATATTATAACTGCTATAACGATGTACTTATAATAGTTGATATATAAGTAGAGAATAGTAATAAAACAGTAATAAAATATACAATAAAAATAATTAATAAATAGGTAATATAATGTTCTAAAATACGATGAAAATCCTATACAAATAAGTCCTTTTTAGTTTTTTTTTTTTGTTTCTCACGAAAACTGTTTAACTAAAAAGTTGTTTTCACACTGAATAGTTTGGAAACTTCATAATAATTTTTTAACCATTCCCCTATAATTTATTTTTAATCATATCATAAAAAATATTTAATAATACTTGTAAATTACTACTGCATATTTGTTTTTCTAGTTAACCTTTGTAAGTTTTTAAATTTCATTAATAAGTTTAATTAATGCAATAAATATAAAGCTATTTATTTAATTAAAGACTTTTAGAACTATGTGATAATAATAGTTTGACTAGTCAGTTTGAGTTTTTATCAGATTTTATTAATAGTTTTTTTTATTTATTTTACTTATTAAAACAATATCTTTATCTCCCATTTGTATATTTTTTTTTATATTCAATTATATATTTCAGTCTTATTAGGAATACTTTAAAAATTTTCCTTTTAGTTTTTTTTATTGTCCATCCTGTTTATTCATACCGTCTTCTTATAATAATTATATCTACTTTATTCATAAAAGCTCTTATTTTGAAATTTTTTCAAGTAATTTATTATCAGTTATTCTGTTAGTGTTTATTAAATCTTTGAAAATCTCCTATAATGTCAAATTTTGAACGATATTGGTTTGTTATAATATAATTTTTCTTCTGCTATCCAAGTATCACATTCTAAGCATTGTTCTTCAGTTGACTTTCTTTTACTATCTCATTCCTAGTTTTATTTGGTAAATATACATGTTAGTAAATGTTTTTTCAAAACAAGTCGATAATTATTATTCTATTCTATGATAACTTCATAAAACATCATTTATAATGTTTTATGTAAACTAATTACTATTTTGAAACGTTTATTTCAGCTTCAAATGGTGAGTAAAAAGTTGTGTACAGCATAAATTTATTGAGTAAAAAGTTTATTGAACACATAACTATATTTTACAATCTACATAAAGTTAGTAAAATACTACCAATTAATTAATCTTTTGCTATATTTTATTGAAACTGTAAAATAAATAAAAAAAATTTTTAAAGTAAATCAGCAATGTATTTTGCAAGCTACCACAAAATATTACGTTATATTATGATAATAATTAAAGCAATGTAAAAATGACTTAAAACAAAAAAGATCACTACTTCTATCCTAAATCTATAAAAAACAAAAAAACTATTTAATAAACAACTATTATACATCAGCTCTGGGAACCTCAAAATATTCAATCCTAAGAAAATTCAAGCGCTTTAGTAAATAATTATACAATGCTCCTTAATACGTCAGAAATCGTATTTTACATAATCGATTTTAAACCTAAGCAATATCCACATTTAATTTCTGTCATTATTATTTATATCAAATAACCTACTTCAACCATACAATTCATTTCATATCCAAAATTTATCTCGTACTTTACCTGATAACTCTCTCCGTCGGCTTATATAAACGTAAATGATTAAGTGATCTATTTAATAATCTATAAAAACCTATTTCCTTTAAGTTTGTTAATTGTAAGATTGTCGATGAATGCTCTCTTACGTTTATGATGTTTTCTAGGATAGTGAAAACATTAAACAAATTACTAATTATATAATTTGTATAAATACAAATAAATCGTTGCGATGGCAAAAAATTGATTAGATACTATCGATAGATCTTTGTAAAGTATTACATATTATGACAAATTTTATGAGAACAGCATTTTTTCTTCTTCATATTTAGGTTATATAATAAAAACACAATGTATGTATATTAAATTGTTTATTAATTAATATGTTTATTGTTTTAGAGGAAATGTGTACGTATATTTTATATTATTACAATTTTTAATTTGGTTTTTATAGTATGAACATTATAAAAAGTAATTTTTATACATATTTTTCGTCGATTTTAATCAGATCTATAATTGAACATTTATTAAATCGTATATATTATTTTTTTATGGTGAATCTTCTAAATTTGTATCATATTAAATAAAAATTATGTTCATATATTTCATTTAGTAAAAGCAGTTTTAAGTAAGTATTTTATTAGTAGAGTTTTAATCGTAATCAATAATTTTTGAAACATTGCTTTTAAAAATTAATAAACACGTAAATAGAATAAGGAATATCACAATAGTTTGAATAACAATTCTAGAAATGGCTTCAAGATGATTTTTTTTTTAATATTTGAATTACAAACAATAATTTGATCAATATTCTTTGTTAAGTGATTAAAAAGGTAACAGACTATAAATGTTAACGATAAGTTTCCGAAAAATAAATATATTATTAAAACAAAATTGTGTATATTTTAAACGTTATTATTTAATGTTGATAAACAGTTATTGTATTTACATTGGAAAATAACTAGTTTTGTTTAAAATATATTAACGTTTTATTGTGAAAATTATTTAAAAAAACTCTGGGTTGACTACCAATAAGTGAAATACAAACTATAAACTAGAGCTGATTTTGTGCCATAGTATTATCAACAAGTTGAAGCCTTCTTGATGAATTTAAATATAATAGATATAGAACTCATAAATGTAAAACCAATGTCTGAATAAATTCAATTTTTCCAATCTCTCTTTGAATACAATCTGATGTTGCGATTATGAGGCAAAACTACGTTTAAATGTATTTTAATAATGTGTCAAATATTAGAATGATAAACATTTGAAAAAAAAATATACACAATGTCAATGTAAATTATGGTTTCAGAACTTTCAACTGATTACATTAATGCGATTAGAAATAAAGGTATGTATTACTGTCTATTATAAATAATTGAAAACATAGATTTAGGTTTTTGAATACTGTAAAATTTGTTTTATATGTGTTGTGTTAATGTTGAAAACGCATTAAATAAATAAATATTAATTGTGTTGAACAGTTTTATTTGCTCTGGTTTAACTACGTGTGAGAATGAGTAAAATGTTAACTAAAATATGGTTGGCCAATATCGGTCGTATGAACTATTAAACAAAAGTCTATAGCCTTAGGTAAAAATATTTATAAAGTGTTTAAGGATCAAGTGAAAGGGTGACAAGAATAGATATAATCTAAGGAGGCTGTTATAAATGTATAAAACGAGGACCAGATATATTAAAGAATTTTCTTGATTTTATCTAAAATTAATAATAATTTTTCACCCACGATTTACATTAATTTTTTTTGTAAAAATTGTTTTGAAATAAGTTTGATAAAGCAATAAATTATTACTATTTTAGAAATGGCATTATAAGTAAATAGCTCTTATTACCCTCCAAATATTCATTGTGTTAGTGTATAATAAAATAATTTTAGTACAAAATAGTTTATTATATGGTATTCGTTATTATAATATCATTCACAACAAACTTCTTTTAATAAAATTTGGTGATTTTATTTGAATTTGATAAGATGATTTCTATTGCTCTAATATGGAAATCACTTGATTATATTTGGTCAAAAGGAGTATGTAGGGGATTTAAGTATTGCCCGAGTCTGTGATGTAAATATAATGCGTTAGTCATTGTATATTGTTAGTCATTTAGATTATGAGTTAGTACAAATTTAATAATTCTAATTCCAATTCATTTTTCAGAACTTATAGAAAATCCGATTATTACCTTCTGTACAAATCAAATGAAAGATGTGAATTACGTGTCGTTATTGTTAACATCGACATTTGGATAAATTTAATTTTAACTCATTTGTAAAATTATAACAATTTATGACCATTTTAATTTAAATTGCTTTGTAAAATAATATGTAAACTTCAGTATAATTATCAAAAAAAACTATTTGTATATTATATACTCTGTCTCAAAGTAGAATACACCGGTTTCGCGCATCGCGACTGACGGTCGCGGAAGCTCGTTGGCTCGTTGTCCGATTTTCTCCCACTATGTGGCGAAATTGACAGCAGATGCGCGGCACCAAACGAAAACCGGTCAGCCGCCTGGTGTATTCTACTTTGAGACGGGATATAGTGTTTTTCATTTATATGTACTAACATATTATAAAGTATCATTTTATTTCTTGGTTTACACAATAAATAACCTGATATTACATGAATAGAAATGTCTTTTTCATTGTCATTGGTTCATATAAAATGTAAAATGTTCTTGTATTTTCATTTGTATAATGAAAAATATTTGTCAAGGATATAGAGACAATACAACATATTATATTGCTGATAAAAATTAATTATTCCAATAATACCAAATAATATACAATACACTTATGCATTTAAGTCCTCAGAGAAAGGAAACATAAAAGAAACACGATATGCACGTTTCAAGCGCAGCAAACATTACTCAAAATGTCATCTAGAACTAGTTTTGTAACGTTGTTTTAACCAGTGCTGTGCTTAGATATTTTTTTTTTATCTAAATATAGATAAGATATATGAATTTTAAATATATCTATATTAAGATAGATAATGATAACTAAAAATAAATATCTAGATATACTTGCAGATAAAATTAATTTTATTTAGATAGAAATTAATTTTTTTTTTTTTTAATTTTTTATAAATCTTATTCTTAAAGCATGATTTTGTTAAATATTATACAAAAAATATTAATACAAATATGGCTACATATATTTTAGTTTTAATCACTAATATTTATTCGAAAAATATGCTTAATAATTTAAACGATAATGCCTACAACAATATCAATACAATATACACCATTTTTTGAAAAGGAAGACTAGTAGTAGGTATAAATCCAACGGGGGGAGGGGGGAGGCAGAATACTTATTATAAATATATATATTATTTAACTGTTATCTTGAGTTATAATATACATACATATATTTTATTTAACTTATAAAATAGATTTCAAACTAAAAAAAAAAATTAAAACTACTTTTACATAAATTTGTTAACATTTGAATATTAAAATTATCATCACTTTGTTTATTTGTTATGATACCTTTTCTATGGATAGTGAATATTGATAAATGAAATAATAGTAACTTTCAGTGGTTACTGGTTTAGGTCAAATTATTAGCCAGTGAGGAGTGAAAATAGTGGTATAATTTTATTAACTATTAGTATTTTTAGACTATACCACTATTTCCATAACTATCAATGTATTTTTAGTCTTGGATTATTTAATATCTATATAATTATCTGTTGTCGACGATCAAATATTTAATTATTAATTTCTTGAAGTGGTACACGTTAACGACATTAATATTCAGATATTAGGTGTCTAAATAAATAAACTATTAATGAAACTATAAATTGTATATCGTAATATTATTATACCAGGATAATTATTTTCTGTCCACAATCAATTGAATTGTATTGTATTTATTGTTTTTTTTTTTCTGAAAATATAAGAACCACGACACTATTTGTTAATTACCTATATGTAGCACAAATTATTTAGAAAATATAATTATAATTTATAATAGTATACTATAGTTATATCCCATATTAATTGTTATTTTTATTAGTTATTACATCGGCTCATAAAATGTTATCTTAATTCATAAGCAATTTTTGAAATAATATCAAATAATATTTCTTGTAGTACCTCCACTGGATGACCTATACGCTCTATTACATTTACCTTGTGATTTATTTATTTTTTTTTACTATATTACTTCCTTAATTGTTCTTATTGTTCTTTTTGTAACAGATGGAATAAAACATTTAATAAAAAAAATTAAATAAAAAAAATATATAATATATATATTATCCAAAAATATGATGTTCGTGTCTTGTAAACAATTAGATTAATTTATTTAGATGATCTAGTTATATATCTTAGATGTCAGTGAGATATCAATTGTGTAATTTATCTATATAAGATAATAGATACAAGTGTTTTATCTAGATACCTACCTTCACTAGATAAATTTATCTAACTAAATTCAACTGTGGTACAACATTGGTTTTAAATATGTGAGTTTTCTTACATTACATCAGGAGATTATGTAGACCTAAGTACTAGCAACGTCTTTCAGGAAAATTAATTTCATGGTGTCACAACTTCCTCGATTTGAGTATACTTGTTGACCAACTCGCATTCACGTCAGACCAGTGGTTGCCGGATATGTGGAGTTGAATGCGCGTTTACGATATCTAAATTCTAAACATATTATAATATTTGGCGAAAGGTAACGATTTGAAAAATATCAATCAACAATTAAACACAAATCAATGGAAATCGTCACTCAAAAGAATTCCTAACCAAAATAAAATAGAATTATCATTTTTGGTAGCCCTACATACCACCACCGCAAGTCGATATAGCCAACCACTAGATTTGTAGGAGCTAGATCGGCGCTCAACAAAGATAAATATTAAACACGATGATTATTTCATACAATACGATTCTCACATTACAAATTATGTTATTTTTTTTTGCCAATATTAAATAGTTACGGCGTGTGATATAGTTTAGTGTCCTATACAATTTATTGCGTTATATATTATATTTTTCGTTTAAAGACTCATTTAAAAACTCTTTTATCAATACAAAACATTTAAATATACAATATATTGATTAGCAAGTCAAAATGACTTGCTAAACTCTGTTGCATATAGAGCAACATAAATGCCAGTCCATAATAATGTCACTCGATTCGCGTTTTTTTGTCCGTTTATTCGGTATTAGTAAGTCGAAAATAAATGAAAAATGATATTGACATTAGTCATAAACTTCTTTGTGTTTATGTAATCGACGTGTAAAAAAAGAAAAAAACGTTTGTAGATACGTGGTCCGCAACAGTCGCAAATACAAAGTACAACCATTGAAGCGTTCCACCATACGTTTGATCCTACCAACTAACACTTCAGACAATAAACTGCGTGACTTCTTTATCTCTTACACCTTAACTGATCACGGATTGGAATCAAAGCCTAAGTCCTGAGTCATAGTGACACTCTATCTGTACCATGATCTGTGACGACGATTTCCGAACATTAATAATAATAAAATCTAATTAATGTTTACTGTAATTTACCCTCTTTATACAAAATACTATTTTTTTAAAAGTAAAAAAATAAAAGCAGTGAATAAAAAAATAAAAAAAGAATTGTTTCCTTAGTTGCTCAATATTTATAATATTATGGTCTCCATTCTGGTCTTTATAAAATTTAATTTAATTACAATCAATTTTACTGAACATTTTTCGATTATTAAGAAAATTAGCAATATTTAGAACTAAGATACAAGCTGTACAGTGATCCGTTATATCAGTAAGTATCACAACGGCATTAATTTTACTTGTTATATTTATAGGTACCTACATTAGTATTTATAAAAATATCTAACTAGAATGATTAAAATCTTTTTTTAATCTAGTGTAAAGGTTTATAAAAGAGATAAATGCATTTTTAGATAACACATTAAGATATTTACACTTATTTTCATGAACAATTATATTTACATTCATATCACAATATCACGAATAATTATGTTAGATCATTATTATGTTTTATCATTAATCCATCAATAATTACTTTTATTAATGAGTTTATAAATTTATGGCTACCATTACCGAAAGACCTATTAGTAGAAAATATTGCAAAGTTTCCACAAGTAAAATTATATTAACATTCCTATATTTAACATCATTTTCAACAAATAAAAATAATTCATCAAAGTGTACATTAACACTTCTAGCATTAAAACATATTATAAGAGAGTTATTTTTATTCTCTTCAATATTAAATATATATGAAAATTCGGAAAAAGATTTATAGTAATTAGTTTTAAAATTAAAATAATCCGAATAAACATTTTCTATGAGACAAAAATAAATAGTTAATTAATAGCTACGTTTTTATTTGTTTTTTTGTTGAATTTAGATTGAACTCTAAAAGCATTGGCAACATATATATTTTTAAATTTAAAGCTTAGAAATTGTTTTCACTGTGACACTATAAGCTTGCAGTCTTTAATATGAATATTCGAGACCTCTAAAATTTCAACAAAATTATAAAGCGAATTAATTTCTAAATTACTGATTTATTTAAATGGCAAAATAAATTCGTTATGTAAGTCATTATTTTGATAATTTTAATACTTTATTCTCTTCTCTCGAATCTTTTATAGATATACCTACTCTTAATTCATGTAGTTGTTTACTAAAGTCATCAAACTTATCACTTATAAAATTCACAGAGCCAGTTAAATTATTAAATAATTTTTCGGCTAACACTTGAACTCCAAAATCTTCCGTAATATTCATTATAGACATTTTCAACTTAGAATCGTCACAGAGTTTGCATTTTTAACAGCACTGTTTTTAGACATTTTATTGAAAGCCGATTATTGCAATAACCCACATCCAAGAGCTTCAGAGGCCCAGGGGCCAATACATGGTTGTGGGCCTCCGTCAATAAAAACAATTCTTTAAAATTATAAAATTATACAATAAAACAAATTTAAACATTTTTATTTAAGTATGATAATTAAAGAGCAGATTTTTAGGTTCTTAAAAGCTTAAAATATGATGCTAATATGTTCTAAAAAAAACCCTAAAATATTCCTAAATATTCCTTAAACTTGTAAATATGCAGATAATATGATTTGTTTTTTTTCCAAAATAATTCAATTAAAACACTAAATAACTTATGTACCATTCCTTTTTGGTAAAATATAAAATATTTAAATATAAAAAATACAAAACAGTTCATGGGTTTATGAATACAATGAAATATATTATATAAAAACAAAATAGTTTAATAAAAACAATACATAACTTGTATGGCCTTTAGTAACAGCTAAGTTATTTAACTATAAAATATAAATCAGTTCATACTTAGTTACCTTTATAAATATAATGAAATATTAATAAAAAAACAAATAAAATT